GTTCCTCCAGCACTTGCACCAGGAAATTGTCCCCTACGCTTTCCAAAAACTTCCTGGATTGTCTATGCACCGCTGTATTGCTCTCCCAGCAGATATCAGGAAAATTAAAGTCACCCATGAGAACCAGGGCATGTGATCTAGTAGCTTCCGCGAGCTGCCGGAAGAAAGCCTCATCCCCCTGGCCCGGTGGTCTATAGCAGACTCCCACCACTACATCACTCTTGTTGCTCACACTTCTAAACTTAATCCAGAGACTCTCAGGTTTTTCTGCAGTTTCGTGCCGGAGCTCTGAGCAGTCATACTGCTCCCTTACATACAGTGCTACTCCCCCACCTTTTCTGCCCTGCCTGTCCTTCCTGAACAGTTTATAACCATCCATGACAGTACTCCAGTCATGTGAGTTATCCCACCAAGTCTCTGTTATTCCAATCACGTCATAATTCCTTGACTGTGCCAGGACTTCCAGTTCTCCCTGCTTGTTTCCAAGGCTTTGTGCATTTGTATATAAGCACTTGAGATAAGCTGCTGATCGCCCCTCATTCTCAGTATGAGGCAGGAGCCCTCCCCTCACAGACATTCCTGCCTGTGCTTCCTTCTGGTATCCCGCTTTCCCACTTACCTCAGGGCTTTGGTCTCCTTCCCCCGGTGAACCTAGTTTAAAGCCCTCCTCACTAGGTTAGCCAGCCTGCTCGCAAAGATGCTCTTCCCTCTCTTCGTAAGGTGGAGCCCGTCTCTGCCCAGCACTCCTCCTTCATGGAACACCATCCCATGGTCAAAGAATCCAAAACCTTCTCTCCGACACCACCTGCGTAGCCATTCGTTGACTTCCACGATTTGACGGTCCCTACCCAGGCCTTTTCCTTCCATGGGGAGGATGGACGAGAACACCACTTGCGCCTCCAACTCCTTTATCCTTCTTCCTAGAGCCACATAGTCCGCAGTGATCCGCTCAAGGTCATTCTTGGCAGTATCATTGGTGCCCACGTGGAGAAGCAGGAAGGGGTAGCGATCCGAGGGCTTGATGAGTCTCGGCAGTCTCTCCGTCACATCGCGAATCTTAGCCCCCGGCAAGCAGCAGACTTCTTGGTTTTCCCGGTCAGGGCGGCAGATAGATGACTCAGTCCCCCGGAGGAGAGAGTCCCCGACCTCCACCACCACCCGCCTCCTTCTCTTGGGAGTGGTGGTCGTGGAACCCCCCATCTCAGGACAGCGCATCTCATGCCTTCCAACCAGCGGAGTCTCCTTCTGCTTTCTCCCCCCAGACATATCAGAAAGACCAGTCCAGAGCCTCACTGATACCCTTGCTCAGAGAGGAATGCAAACATAGTTTGGAAATAAAGCACAGGCTATTTGCCCACTATCACCACCCTCTGAGCCACCAATTGAGAGCTTTTAGAGTAGCAGCCGTGTTAGTCTGTATTTGCAAAAAGAAAAGGAGGACTTGTGGCACCTTAGAGACTAACCAATTTATTTGAGCATAAGCTTTCGTGAGCTACAGCTCACTTCATTGGATGCAATTGAGAGCTGAAATGCCTTAACCAGGCTGTACTCCTATATTAGGAATTGCAGTTTTCAGTCAATGGGACTTGTGCTCTGAAGTCACACACTTGGGTGCCTAAATATAGGTTTAGGAGCCAGACTTTAGGGTATTTTTGAACTTTTTAGCCTCTGAATAAAAATGTCAATAACTCAGTGTATTGAAGGCCAAACTTTTAACTCTGAAACAGTTTACTTGTGAAGTGACAAAGGTTTTGCTACTAAAACATTTTCAATACAGTTTAGTCCCTGACGCTGCAAGCACTTCCACACATGCTTAACTTTCATAGATTCATAGATTCATAGATATTTAGGCCAGAAGGGACCATAATGATCATCTAGTCTGACCTCCTGCACAATGCAGGCCACAGAATTTCACCCACCACTCCTAAAAAAGACCTCACATCTATATCTGTGCTATTGAAGTCCCCAAATTGTAGTTTGAAGACCTCAAGGAGCAGAGAATCCTCCAGCAAGTGACCCGTGCCCCATGCTACAGAGGAAGGCGAAAAACCTCCAGGGCCTTCCAATCTGCCCTGGAGGAAAATTCCTTCCCAACCCCAAATATGGCGATCAGCTAAACCCTGAGCATATGGGCAAGATTCATCAGCCAGATACTACAGAAAATTCTTTCCCGGGTAACTTGGATCTTACCCCATCTAAAAACCCATCACAGGCCATTGGGCCTATTTACCATGAATATTTAATTACCAAAACCATGTTATCCCATCATACCATCTCCTCCATAAACTTATCGAGTTTAATCTTAAAGCAAGGTAGATCTTTTGCCCCCACTACTTCCCTCGGAAGGCTATTCCAAAACTTCACTCCTCTGATGGTTAGAAACCTTCGTCTAATTTCTAATCTAAATTTCCTAGTGGCCAGTTTATATCCATTTGTTCTTGTGTCCACATTGGTACTGAGTTTAAATAATTCCTCTCCCTCTCTGGTATTTATCCCTCTGATATATTTATAGAGAGCAATCATCACATGCTTACCCCTCCTGAAGGGTTCATGTGCGTGAAGTGAGTTACCTCCTTGTGTTTGCGGGATCAGGGCCTTACCTATCTATGTTCTTTGCCGCTACCAGTGTTTGTGTAATTAAAGAAGGGACCCAGCCAGAAGTGGAATTTTAAAAAAACCCGCTTTTACAGCCTCTTTTAACCTCTGTGCCTTAGGCAACTTCTTGCCACGGACTGTGGAGAACAGTGTGCTGCTTGCCCCTTCACTAACAGGAAGGCAAGGCGTTCAAGTCAAGCCAACAGACATCACATGCTGCCTTGAGTCGTCTTTCCTATTTCATCAGGCCTAGATGAGAAGTGGCGCGGCATGTCTTAGAGCCAAAGGGAGAGGCTGGGAGAGCTTGGTAATGGCACGTGCCATGAGCACTTCCCACCTGATCCAGACATGGACTACATCGCACTCTGCGTGAGAAGTTGGAACCCACAGCCCCTCCCTCATTGCTGGCTCCTGTTTAGACCCCAAGGTAGTTTCAGGGGTCGGGAAAGCAGATATAGTATAAAGGAGCACCTTAGGCCATCATCTCTCCCCATCCAGTCCAGGATCAGTCCTTTACCAGGTTCAAGGAATTTAAATCACTGACTTTTTGTTTTTTAATGTTGGGGGAGGGCTTGGAAAACTATTTTGAAAGTTTATGCTATTGCAACCTTAAAATTTATACTAAACAAAATGAAGGTTTTTTTTTTTAAATGCCACTATGGCTGGGTCCCTCATTTAATTACACAATACTGGTAGAGGCAAAGAACATACTGACAGGGAAGGCCCTGATCCTGCAAACACAAGGAAGTAACTCACTTTCACGCACATGAACAATTCCTTCAGGAGGAGCACTCATGTGATGAAAGTTAAGTGTGTGTGGAAGTGCTTGCAGTGGGTGTCTGGATCTGATAGCCTATTTCAGGTTATGAAATAGGCTGGTTTCCTGTGCAGGAAAGGGACCCTTTGGCCCTCTTTGTGGTGGGAGCAGTACATGGCTTTACTGCCAAGCTGTGGAAAACAGGCCTCCCACTCCTGAGGCTGGCTTTCAGCTTGCACAGTGCCAGCAGTCCAGTCCTGCTGGCGTCCCGTGCCCAGGCAGAAGGAAGAGCCATGTGGTGCTGCACTGGTGTATGAGAGTTTCTTTGAGTGTCTTGCTGGAAGTGTGTCAAGCATGTTAGTGGAGTGGCAGTGCTCTGGGCTGACAGCTGCTCTTGTTAGGAGATGATTGCGTTAATAAATTGGCTAATGAATCCAGAACAGCTGTGGCTAACAGGCCAGATATCCCTGTGTTCAGACATGGTAAGGTTCCTTTCGCCTCCATTCGTGTTAAATAGAGCTGAAGCTGCTCATGAATTCTCTGCTGAGAGGCTTCCATGCACTTTCGGATTGTCTCCATTTTGCGAGAGAAGTGAGATGTGGAAGTACAATGTGGTGCAATTTGCAGTGCTGATATCCATTGGCTCCTGTTAATTATGGTAACTGTTCAAGGGGGTGAGTGAACCTGAGATCTGTCACTGCTCTTCCTGGCTTGTGCCTTATGGGAGCGCTTCCAGTATGCACTTCAGACGCTTGCTTCCATTGCAGCAAGGTCTGTATCATGCTGTATCGGCGTGTACAGCAATGGCTTGGTACTCTGGTTAGCTCTAGCATCCAGAGATGGATGCTGGCTCTTCCTAGCCTAGTTGGAAGTTGACTGTGGTGTTCACTTCTTCTAAGCTTCAGAAGACAAGCCTGCAATTACTGGAGCCAGGCTGGTGAAACCAACTCCCTCTGCAGTCCAAGTGTTCCCCAGTCTGTGGCAGTCCAATCATTAACGCAGGGAGTCTGGGCTCCTGGACTGGATTGCTGGCTTAGCCATTCACTTGCTGAGGGACCTTAGGCCGGTCACTTAATCTTTGGCTGTGTCCCACAAAGGGAGGAATTTATTTCTGACTCAGATGCTGTGTGGTGTAGGTTGTGTCTGCGCAGACAGTTTGAACCCACCATTCTGCCTGGGTACAGCTCCGCTGGTGGAAGCTGTAGCAAAGTGTTGGGTCTTTCCCACTGTACTGGGGGATAGATTGCATGATATGAAAACAGGGCTCCCATCTGCCTTGCCATCCTTGGGTTTTCATTCAGCTAATCCTCTTATCGAGATGGCCTCAGTGCTCTACTTGTAAAGCACTAACTTCCTCAGCTGTGAGATGCTAGAAAAGATTCCTCTAGTCTCTAGTGTGTGGTGCACGCTGCGATTAGCCAGGCGAGGTCTGGCTTTCCCCTGGATCTGTTCGCCCCGAGTGGAGGCTGGATTGTTAGAGCATTCAGAAGTGAAATGTCAAGTCAAATATGCGCTCCCTGGAGCAAACTTTCTTGGTAAAACATGCAAGATAGTAATGCCCCAGCATCCAACCGCCTGCTGCGCTCAGCCCCCACGCCTCTGCCATGACCCTTGAATGCTCTTACAGTAGAGCTGTGTTTTCTCCTAGTCCTGAGCAGAACAGGCTGGCTGAGCTGGAAGATCAGGCGAAGGTTGCGAAAAAGGGAATGTGGAGTGAAGGAACAGGCTCTCACACAGTCCGGGATCTCAAATACACGATTGAAAACCCACGCCACTTTGTGGACTCCATGCACCAGAAGCCAGTCAATGGTAAGCATGCGCTGCAGGTGAAGCAGCATGTTGGGTTGCCAGCGAGCGCATAGCTCTGGGATGTTCACCTCCTGCTGGCGCTTACATTTGCACTGTTCTTTGAGCTCTGACTGGCCTTGGGGCATAGCCGGTTTGCAGTTCTCCCCTGCATAGGCTGCTGGGTGCATATCCCACGTGAATTGCCCTTTCATGGCCAGGGCGGGGGATTGCAGTGTGTGCTGCTTGTGTGTGGGTTTCTTCTCATGGCTGGGTTTGATTGAATGCTGTGGGGGGAGGAGTGTGAGGATGGTGCTGTTGTCTCCTTCCTGAGAGCTGACCCTCACTTGTTCGTGTTCTGTAGCCATCATAGAACATGTCCGGGATGGCAGTGTGGTCAGAGCCCTGCTCCTCCCAGATTACTACCTGGTCACCGTCATGCTGTCTGGGATCAAGGTGAGGCTTGGCTCTTGTTTCCTTTTTCTTTTTGAACTGTCTCTCCAGGTTTGCAACCAGACCTGTGCTGCAGCTGGGCCTTCAGGCTTGTCGCAGGCCTGCCGGTATCCTCCACTGCTCTGTGCTGAGCTGCAGTGCCCATTTGGGTGTGCCTACTCTAATGTGCATTGCTGCTTTCAATGAGGAGAGTCTGGGCTTTCACCAGTAACCCCCATTAAACCTCCTGAACCGGACCTTCACGGCTTTTAAGTTGGTCTTATTCCCTGGGACAGTGTCCATTTAGTTCCCTGTCTCGGGACTGCCTCTTTGGTAACTGTCAGGCACCTGTGTCCACACCCCTCCTTCAGACTTTACAAGGAGACAGTGGCTGCTCATCTCCATGTCTCCTGCAGAAGGTGGGAGTTAAAGGAGGTCTTAGGTACTTAAGAGTCAAAGGCTTAAAGTCCATGTCCTTTAGTAGCTTAGGGGGGACAAGTCCATGGGGAAATCTGGTTTGAAAGCATTCTGCAGCCAGTGCAGCCTTAGGGCAATGGTTCTTGCCTTGTCACAGGTTAAGCTGGATCTGCTGTGTCAGGTTTTTGGATAAAACTCCCAGTGTGGTGCAAATTCAGTGGGCAAAGACAGTCCCTTCAGACCCAGCACTGAACTCAGTCTCCCAGCCTGGTGCTTAGCAGTCGCTGATCGAGGGGCGGGTAGCCTTTTTCAGATCACACACAAATCCGAAGATCCTGGCCCTCGTGGTCATGGAAAATCCTAAGATGGTGCCAGTACTCCATTCAGGAACTGTCCTGTACTTCCCAAAAGCCAGAGCGTTCCAGGTCTTTCCCTCCTCTGCGACTGTCCTCAGTTCTGCAAAGTTGAGGAGGTGCCAGCATATCACTTTCTGCCCGGACCGGAATTCCCTTGCACAATGCCTGGCCATGCAAATGCCTTTCCCAGAGAAACCCGCCCATTCTCATTTATCTGTGCGTGCTGCCAGGGCCTGCCTTACTGAACTGAGTGCTAGACAGGCAAAAGGGATTCGCTGCTGTTACCATTGCTATTAGCCATGATAGCCATTGCTATTAGCCATGTGCATGGATTGCTTAGTCTTGGGGCCCCAGTGTTCTCCACCTACATGCCATTAGTCCATTTGAACATCATGGTGAGGAGCATGTTACAGAACCATGGAGGTGTGGGTAGACATTTAGGTGCCTGTGTGGTCTGGAGCCCCACAGTTCCCAGTGTGAGCTGCAGGCCGTGGCGTATGCAGCTGTCCGCACGTTTTGTCGCAATGGCAAGGAGCAGCAGTGCTGGCTGTCCCACTGCCCACTCGGGTTCGACTCCAACCGCCCTCTGTCACGATGGAGGGGACGTGGGGCCAAAATTGCGTGAGTGGCATTGTGACCTGGTGCACAGGGAGTCGCAGCACCACTCAGGTTTGGCACCAATGGCCCTCTCTCACCGTGGAGTGCTGACAGGCCCAAACCTGCATGGGAAGTGGGGCAGTCAGTGCTGTGGCTCCTTGCTGCTGCCGTGGGGCCAGGACCTGGGCCAGGGTTTGCCCCCCTCTCTTCCCCCGCAGTCCTGCCTGGCCTCACCCCGCTTCAAGCAGCCCCTGTCTCCTCCCAGGTATGGAGGCGTGACGCTGCACCTGGACAGGCCAGGTTGGAAGGCAGGGGTTGAGTTTGGCATAGACTCAGCAGGCGAGGCCCGGGGCCAGTTGCTGTCATGGGGATGGCCCCACAGGAATCTATGACTGACAGTGCATAACATGGGAAAAGTTTCTGGAGGTGCCCCTGGCTGCAGGTGTTCAGCACCACTGCAAATCAGGCAATTGAGGTGCCAAACTTCGGCCACCAGAATTTGAAAACACTGAACCTGGACCTCTTGAGCATTCACAATGTTTTAATGGCTTGTGGCCCCAAAGCCAGAGGTGCCGAGTGCTAGCTGCTGCCAGTCATATCAGTGACCACAGACTTAGGGCTGAGTAAGTCATCTTGACAAGAGCAAGTGGCACGCAAGTGTATGGGTCTGCAGGTTCCAGTATAGATTCTGATGGTTAAGTTCAAACCCCCTTCGGTGTCCACTTCTACATCTAGAGCCAATGTGGTACCTACAACTACATGGCCCTTGATGGATCCAACTTCCACTGTGACCAAGGAAGCTCTGGATCCAACAGCTTGATCAATGGACACTCCCTGCACCCCAGGATGGTCTGAGACCTGCATCTCCCTGGAGGATGCTTTTTTGCTCTCCTCTGTCCTCATTCAGTCCTCTTATTCGGACTGTTTCTATTCTGGCGCATTGTTGCTCCAGAGGAGGCAGCTATTCTTGGATGCAGATATGTCCTCCCTTCCCACCTGCCAGTCTCGTTATGCAGCCATGGGTACTGTTGGTTCTGATGGTGATCTGGGATCCAGCCTCTTCTGAGTTGGAAGATGCTTAGGAGTCTGGTACCAGGCACAGGTGGGGAGAAAGGAATTCAGTCTTACCCTACCTCGATGATTGGATTCTGATGAACAGATCCTACGAAGAAGCCCAGCAGGCAACCAGATTCTTGCTCCATCAATCGCCTTTCCAACAGCGAGAAATCCACATTGACCCCCACAAGGTCATAAACCTTATAGGGGTGCTGTTGAATTCATCCACAGCAAGAGCTTCTCTACCTCTTGAGAGGTTCTAGGGCTTGCCATGGGTGCTCTGAGACTGAGACCATCCGACTACCCTGGACCTGAGTCAGGACTTGCCTTTTCCCCCCTCGGCCACGTGGCCTCACTTACGCACATGATGCCATTTGCCAAGCTCCATCTTTGTTTGCAGGCCTGGCTTCTTTCCCAGGCACTCCACAGAGGGGCAACATCAACAAGGTGATTGATTCTGTCCAAGGTTTTAGACTCTCACCTCGTGAACAAAGTTGGCGAGGTTTGGGTGGGGATCCCTTTTCCCACACAGGCTCCTGAGGTGCAACTATAGTCAGATGCTTCCCTCTAAGGCTGGAGCGCTCATATGGGAGGTCATATGGCACAAGGCCTCTGGGCCTTCAGGAGTCCAGAGTGCATATCCATTTACTAGAATTCAGGTCTGTCGGCAATGCCTTCCTTCCACTTACCCAATCCCGATGTCCAAATTGCATTGAACAATATGACAAATCTTCTATATAAATGAACTCATGTTCCAGAGTAGTGCCAAGGCTCTGCTAGGAGTTGTTCAGTAAAATGGAGTTTTCTCATCTTGGGCTCAGCAATGCCAGCTAGCTCCGGAATCTGTTCAGATCAGCTGTCCTGGAATAGCCACTTAAAGCAGCAATCAGTGCTTTTCATCCTCCTACTTGTGACCAAGTGAGTGGTGATCATCTGGTTATCCATTGATTTCTGAAGGGACTTCGTAGATCCTTCCACCACTGGTGAAGTTTGTGTTTCCGTGGGACCTCAGTTTCTTTTGTCTCCAGAGCTCCCTTTGAACCTGAAGCCAACATGTTCTGTGGCCCATATGTCTACGAAAGTGGCCTTTCTCATTGCCATAACATCAGGCAGAAGAGCCAGCCAACTGGGGGTGCTCAAAGTGAGCCCACCATATATTCCTTCCATAAAGGAAAGGTCTAGCTGTGCTTCCACTCAAGGTTCATTCTTAACATAGTTTGAGTTTCACCTGAGTCAAACCATCCACTTACTGATATTTTTTCCTAAACCATTTGCCTCAGATGGAGAGTGAGCTTCATTCTCTGCATCCGATGAAGTGAGCTGTAGCTCACGAAAGCTTATGCTTAAATAAATTGGTTAGTCTCTAAGGTGCCCCAAGTACTCCTTTTCTTTTTGCTTCATTCTCTGGATGTCCAAAGGGTATTGGCCTTTCATCTACAAAGACACCTAAACTGTTTCCAGGGCAGAGATCTCAAGGTGTCAGAGACTTTCAAAATGGATCTGTGGTTGTATTATCCTTTATTACCTAGCCCACATCCCTCCTGTGGAGGGGGTGAGGGCTTATTCCACTAGAGTGCAAGCAACACCTGCTACATCTCTGAGATGTATGTCTACTAGAGATTTGTATGGCAGTGACTCCAAGCTCCTTAGATGCTTTCACGAGACACTGTGCTTTGGATATGGCTGTGGGGACAGTAGTACTATGGTCAGCTATCACTTCCATGTCCTCGCACCCACCTGTCTGAGCACTGCTGCTTGTTCTCCCATGTGTGGAATACAGATAGGGACTAGCATATGAAGCAGTGGAGGTTACTTACCTGTACTGGAGGCTCTTTGAGGTGTGGCCCCTATCTGTATTCCACTGCGTGCCCTCCCTCACCTCTGCCTCAGCTTATCTGGATTCAGTAAGAGAAGGAACTGCAGAGGCATTGGCCCGTGCTGTCTTTCGTACCCTGGCTTGGGAGCATGAGGAGAGCTGTGGCATGTGTGGGCCAGTGGACCCTGCAAAAAAAATTCTGGACTCAGGTGTGCAGTGCGCATGCATATCCCATGTGTGGAATACACATAGGGACCCACTTACAGGTAAGTGTGACCTCTCTTTCTCCCCATGCTAGGGAGCGCTCTGCCACAATAGAGTGGAACCCGACTGACCTGGACCTCTGTGCTGGCGTTCTGCTCTCTCATGGGTGGTATTTTGCTTGCCCAACCTAGCCAATGAGTTATAGTTGCTTTGTGTGGTATCATACATGTGCTGGGGTTGCTTCACTCACCTCTGGGATGCAATGTGGCAGCTCTTTAAGTGTCCAGCAGCACCCCTCAAGTCTTCGGGACAGGAAGTGACCTTGTATCCCTCTGAAGCTGTACAGGGGAAGCAGAATTTGGAACCTCATATGGCCCTCTGGGCTCCTCCCCCAAAACAGCCAACAGCAGCTGCAGCCAAGGGTGCAGGGGGCAGCAGCCTTCCTGGTCGGCGGCTCTGGATGTGCCCTTGGGTCACTGCCCTCTGCTCCCCCTACACGGGAAGCAGCAGCCTTCTCGCTTGCACTCTGCCTGGTTTCCCCTCTGACTTGCTCATTGCCATTGGCTGTTAGAGCCCAGCATCCTGTCCCATAACCGCCCACCTCACTTCCATCTGCCCATTGGACTTCCCCTTCTCCTTGCTCCTTCCCCTCCCTTACTCAGCCATCACTGCTTCTCCCCCACTTCATTTCCAAGTGCCTCTCTTTCTCTTGTGCCCCCCCGCTCCCGGCCTGAGTTAAGTTTTTGGTTAATTTAAACAATTAAAAGATATGAAGTAGAGCAAGAAATGGAGCTGCAGTGTGCCCATCCCCTGCATGCTGCCTTCCTTTGCACCCTTCATCCGTATTTCAGCCCTCGAAGGGTGGATGTGCTTCCAGGCAGACAGAGAGCCCTGATTTCTGATCACGTGTTGAGAATCTGGCCTTTTTAAGGTCTCCAGTTGGGCACCCAAAATTACTAGTGTGAGCCTTGGCCTGTATCTTGGTATACTAGGATATACCAAGAATACTAGGAGTAATGTAATTACACAACCATTTCCCCCATGGTTAACAGCACTTACTGAGAGGGTGCCCAGATGTCCCAATGTTATCAGGACTGTCCCGATATTAGGGGCTCTGTTTTCCACAGGACCTCTGATCCCCCATCCCAACTTTTCTCAGTGCTATATCTGGGTACCCTACTTATTGAAGAAGTGCACGGGTCTGAGGCTGTTCCCATGGAGTGGACTTCAGGATCCCAGCGCGGGGAACTAATGGTTCTGGTTCATGGTCCGTGCGCCAAGGTGCCCTCGCTCTGATGCTGGTGATCGTAAATGCGGTGGAGGCGTGCTCTGTTCTGCTCAATCCGCGGTGGGAGTAGGAGCAGGAGTGATGGTTGTCCATCCGTCCCTGCTCTTCAATTACTTTTGCCAAGCAGTCTGCCCCGTCCTAGAGATCTTACCAGCGCGCGCCTCCTCCTAACCTGCCCTTGCCTCCGTGTTGCAGTGCCCAACATTCAAGAGGGAGGCAGATGGCACAGAGACACCGGAGTCATTTGCAGCAGAAGCAAAATTCTTCACCGAGTCACGGCTGCTGCAGAGAGATGTGCAGATTGTCCTGGAGAGCTGCCACAATCAGAACATCCTGGGCACCATCCTCCATCCGGCAAGTGGGGCAGGGGGTCTCCGGGCAGATCCCAGTGCGATTGGTTACCACCATCGGGGAGAGCAGAAGTGGGTTTTTTTTTTTTTTTCGGCCTTTTGCTCATGTGCCCAAGCTGGGCATATCCGACCAATGGTCCCAGTGGTACTGTGGGTTCACAGTCTTTATCTCTGGAGCTTGGGGTTCAAAGCTGCATGGCATGGCCACTGAAATGGAGGAATGTTAGAGTTTCAGGGTAGGTGTCAGAGCGCGCTCCGTATTCAATGGGGAGCCAGTGTAGAGAGCACAGCTAGCTGGGGAGGAGTGCTCATGGCCACCCGTGTTGCTTATTAAACTGTAGAGCCTGCTGCATTCTACACCGGGTGGGAGCTCTACGGGGCAGGTGGCTTTATTGCTGGGTAGGAGTTCATGGGTGCAGTGGGATACCATGGCCGGTGGTACGGCAGGCCAGGGTGGAGACACTGGGCAGTCACTGATGGCAGTAAGGGGTGTCTGGCTGTTCAGGCACGCAGTATCCAAGGGGCCCAGCAGGACTGCAGCCCAGGTGATGGTCAGAGGGCCACTGCCTCCCCTAACAACCCCCACTGTTGAGGGCCAGTTTTAGTGCTTTCCTGTTGGCTAGATCCCTACTTGTGTAGGGGGGACAGTCACTAGTGTGGCTCCTGCTAGCCTGGGGTGCAGAATGGGTCCCTGCCTTCCATGGGCTGGCTGCAGCTGTCCAGTGAGCCTGGCATAGAGCTAGTGCTGTCGGGTCTCAGCCAGGGCTGTGCCGAGCACAGTGCTGCTTCCTTTGGCAAAAAGGTCTCAATGGCTTGAGACTCCTCCCACATACTAGTGGGCCCTGAGGCGGGTGTCCGTCTCGGCCCTGGCGGGGAGTGACGTCAGCCTCCTAGCTCCAGGAGTGTAGACTGACTCTGTTGTCTCCCCCTCCTAATTCCAGAATGGCAACATCACGGAGCTGCTGCTGAAGGAAGGCTTCGCGCGCTGCGTGGACTGGTCCATCGCAGTGTATACCCGCGGGGCTGAGAAGCTGCGAGCGGCCGAAAGGTAACTGGTGGCTGCTGATGCTGGGTGGCGATGGTTCCGGGGCACAGGGCTCCCCAACCAAGAACTTACCCAGAGTGCCCTCCACTGGGAGGGCTTCATGAGCTAAAGAAAATCACATCCTTGTCTTCCATTGGCTGCCCCCAGCTGCCTGAATGGGGCAGCGTCAGGGAGTTGGGCCCAGCTGCTTGGCTGTGGGAAAGACAATTGTCTGCCTCCCCCTCAGCACCTGGTGACAGCTGCGTGGTGTGCTCTGCATATGGGGAGGGGGGGGTTAGCTGTGCTCCAGTGCAGGTGGGAGACTGCTGCAGCCAGCTGGGAAAGGCTCAAAGGAGGGTGATCTCCCAGCTCTCTGGCTGGCCTCTCTCCATTCCCCCTTGGTGTCTGGTGGGGAATCCCAGAGCTGCTCTTTGAAGAGGGAGGCTGGGTGTGCATCTCCTTCTCACAGCTAGTGTCCAAGCAGAGCAGATGGGACCCTGCCTGCTGCCTCCTCTGGGTGGCTGGCAGCTGTGGTGCTCCCCTGCCGCTGTCTCCTATTTTGGCTGAAATCTGGGGGCATTCTTCCCCTTCAGCCCATGCCCCTGGAGCACCGCTCACTGCCATAGTCTGCCTCTTGCATGCAGCTTTGGAAGAAGGCAATCTCTGCCATGGGCAGTGGGGAAGGTGACCATGGGGAGGCAGGAGCGTGGCTGGTCCCTTGGCATATAGATTCCAGCCAGCTCAGGCCTGGCGTCACCTGCTCTGCTCAGTTGGACATTGCTGACTAACACAGCACTTGCCTGGCTGGGCTGGGAGCTGCAGATGGGCAGGATACACTACTAGTTTGGGCCATGGCTTTCGCAGTGGGGGCCTGATACTCAGAGGCCTACACATGGCTTTAGAGGCAAGTGGCCTGATTCCCAGGAGCACTGACTCAGCTGCTCCCTGGGTTGCCTTTACTTTTCTTGCTGTCCTGATCCACTTCCTCACTGTAGTTTGGTTACAAAGGCCCATTCGGCTGCTGGGGAGACCTCGTGCCCGGAATCAGGACTGACGTGGTGCTCAGAGCAGTTGCCGGTGCATGGATGCCATGCTGGCCTTGGTTAGATGCGGGTCACCATCTGCAAGCAGCTTGGCTCTGTCTCCTGCAGTGGAACTATGCCAGCTTCAGTAGGGCAAGATGCATGCCCCAACCCTAGCTCTGGATGGTCACACGCATCTTTCTGTTGCTAGGTACGCCAAGGAGCGCAAGCTGAGAATCTGGAGAGACTATGTGGCACCCACGGCTAATCTGGACCAGAAGGACAAGCAGTTCGTTGCCAAGGTGAGTGCCTTGCAGGCGAGGAGATGTCTTGTTCAGGCTCTCACGACTTGAGTGGAGCATGGAAGACAGGTAGCCACAGAGCATGTGTTGCTGCTGGTTTCATGGTGCAGTGGTCAGGCCAGAAGCAGGAGATGGGACCTGATGGATCGTCGGTCTGATCTGGGGTGGCAAATGCTACATCCTTGTAACTTGCAGCTGGGGCTGCTAGCACAGCTGATCATGGTGAGATGGTAACAGAGTTGGGCTTCCTTTCAAGCCTGCCCTGAGCCGCAGCAGTGCCTGCCACAGGTTGCCCCTCAGATGCAAAGGAAGAGCTGAATCTGCAGCCAACATGCTGTGCTTGTTCGACCCTTTGCATGTGGGAGCATTTGTCCCATGGAGCTCCTCCCTACAGTTACCTGCCCTCCGTCCTGCTCCCTGCATGCACCCTACTCTGTCTTCCCCTCCCTGTGTTGCTTCTCCTCTGTGCTCAAACCTCCTTTGATGGGAAAGTTCCAGGACTGGCTGGAGCGGGGTGGTACTGAGGAGAGAGGAAGGGGTTGAGGTGCATGAGGATCTGATCGAGAATGGCCTGAACTAGTGGGTGAGCGTGCGAAAGAGTGGAAAAGTTTAATCCTCCAGACTTGAAATAGAGGATTTTGCTCCACCATGTGGCCAATGGTGAGTAGTGCAGGGACATTTCAGCTTCTCCTACAGCGCTGTGGCCAGCAGAGGGCTGCCTGGGCTCATGGTAAGGCTTATTTTGGTAAAGTTCGTTCTCTTCAGTTGCGTTGTAGTGTGAACCCTCCTGCAGCCACCCCCTCTCCTTCCTTTCCAGAGCTGCCTTGACATGTGGATAACGGAACTCCAATGTTACAGAAGTCAGAGATGGAGGAACCCTGAGTTTAGAAGGGAGATTAAACCCTTTTGAGTCAGGGCATAAACCAACCATTGACTGGTCAGGCAGGAGGTTTCCCTTGGGGGCAGATTATTCCAGGACTGCCTCTGCTGCAGGATTTTTTGCACCTTCCTCTGAGTCAGCTTGCCCGTAGTGAGGTTAGCCAAGGCTCTGATCTGACAGAACCTGGCCGGTATTCCTTGTTCATCCTGTGTCTGTTACAGTCACTGCTGACAGCCCTAGCTGAGATCAAAGCCCCATTGTGCTAGGAGCTGTACAGACATAGTGAGCGATGGCCCCTGCCCCTAAATAGGCAAGTGTCCTTCCCCCCTCATCCTCCCAAACCTTGTGTTGTCTAAGCCCTGTCACCTTCTTCCTTTGTGCCCTACTCTGCTGGCGTCCCTAGAGCTAGCGAAGCATTGTCTGCGACTTCCTGTGTGTGCTACAGGGCTGTAACCTGCTGAATGCAGTTTGTAAATATTTCATACTATGTAACCACATCAGCCTGCTGCTTGGAGATTGGGAAATGGTGGGAAAGCCACTAGATGGTGCTGTTGGTGTATAGTTAGGCTCTGGGAAAATATGCTGTGTATAAATGCATGCAGCTGGGGAGGTTTAATTTGGATGGAAATGCCTGAGAAATGGGCAGTCTGATTTCTTGGAAAGTAAACATAACCCCCTGCTCTCCATTCCTCCCCCACTCTTTGGGAATGCTCCCAGCAGTGGCTCTCGGCCCCCTCTGGGTAGAACCTCCTTGCCTCTCCCCCTTGCAGTCTGCCCCTAGGATTCCAGCCTCTGTAAACTTTCACGGAAATGGAATTACAGCCTCATTATCAGCCTCAAATGTCAATCAGCCGCAGGATGCTCTCCTGCTTGGCATTCTCCTCTGCATCTGTAGGAGAGGCTGCACTGGGTGGTGAGGAGTCTGCTGTATGCAGGAGTGGTTGGGCTGTCACCGATTAGAACACTCTTCTGCTCTCCAACAGCCCACAGCTGGAGGAAAGGAAACAAAGTGCCAGGAACAATCAGGTGGTGCCACTCACCAGCGCATGCTCCATACGTGGGCATTATACCTACCCCATGCATCTGTTAGACACCTGTACCTTGGGCAGCTCTGCGGCATAAGGAAGATCCTAGGGCAGCAGCTTAGCATGAAGGGCTGGAGGAGGACTCAATGGCTTTGGGAGTTAGGCTAATGCCCATAGCCACTGGCTTCTTAAGACTACAACGGGTCATCTCATATCTTGCTACCTCTAAAGCACAGTGCGAGACTCGTCTGACTTCACAGGTCTACCCTAATCAGCACAAGAGATGTTCTGGTAGACGAGTCTCTTCTCCCATCCTGTTGGTATGTAGCCACCCACAGGCAGCAGCTCTGGAATTGCATCCTTGCTGACGGATGTTTAGAGCACAAAGTCCCCCCAGGATAATGTGGAGGCTTTAAATCCTTGTATCTGGCACCTAGACATGGCAATGAGGTCCTAAAAACCATAGAAATGTAGGTCTGGAAGGGACCTTGAGTGATCCCCTAGTCTAGCTCCCTGCACAAGGAAGTCTAGACCATTCCTGACAGGTTTGTCAACCTGATCTTAAACTTCAAATGATGAGGATTCTGCAACCTCTCTTGGAAGCCTCTTCCAGAGCTAAGCTACCTTTAGAGTAAGAACATTTTTCCTGATATCAAACCTAATTCTCCCTTGCTGCAGATGAAGCCCATTACCGCTTGTCCTGCCTTCAGTGGCCATGGCGAACCGTTGATCTCATCCTCTTTATATCAGCCCTTCACATATTTGAAGACTGTTCTCAGGTCCCCACTCAGTCGACTTTTCTCAACACTAACCGTGCCCAAAGGTTTGTTTAACCTTTCCTCGTAGGTCAGATTTGCTAAACCTTTCATCACTTTTGCTGCTCTCCTATGGACTCTCTCCAATTTGTCCGCCTCTTTCCCAAAATTGTGGTGCTCAGAACTGGACACAATATCCCAGCTGAGGCCTCGCCAGTGCTGAGCAGAGTGGGACAGCTACCTCCCATATTTTACATACATTGCTCCTTCTAGTACATCCCAGAGTATTCACCTCTTTCACAACTGCACGAGAGTGACTCATGTTCAGTTTGTGATCCACTAAAACCCCCAGCTACTTTTCAGCAGTGCTACCGCCTAGCCAGTTAGTCCCCAGTTTCTAGTCATGCATTTGATTTTTTCCTTCCGCAGTGTAGTTTTGTCTTTGAATTTCCTCCTGTTGACTTCAGACCCATTCTCTAATTGGTCAAGCGCCTTTTGAGTTCTAATCCTCTCCTCCAAAGTGCTTGCAACCCCTCCCAGCTTGGTGTTGTCTGCTCGTTTTATAAGCACACCCTCCACTCCATTATCCAAGTCATTAATGAAAATATTTATTACCGGAGCCAGGACTGACCCCAGCGGGACCTCACTAGATACGTCTTCTCAGCTTGACAGAGACCCATTGATAACTAGAGACAGCTAGCTGAGAAACTACTGGTTAGTGCAGGAAGAGAAACGGATTCCAAGCGTGTGGGGGCCACCTGACAGAGCAATGCTGGAGTGAGTTCACAGAGCTGGGTACAAGACCTTTGTTAGTAAATGTCATGCTGGATTCTCAGCCTTGGAGACTGAGGTCCTCTTATCGCGGTCTAATCACAAAACTCTCCCATGGTTCAACCTTTACCTGGTGGGGAGCAGAGAAGCTTGGACTGAGACTTGAACGCCAAATGGACTGTTGCCTGACCTCACGTGTTGCACTGGCCAGAGACCCTTACGCAGTGATTCCTGCTCCCAGCACAGAAGTTCAGATTGATCCTGGAGCGAATTCTGAAACTGCACAATGGTTAACAGCCCTTGCTGTTAAATTTCTGCACCTTCGCTTGATCCACGTAATTCTTGGTGCTCCTGCTATAGCTGCTGACAAGCGGCGCAGTTAACTTCTGGTGGCTCCTGGGATGAGGACCACCTGTTCAGAAGGAACTGGCCTGACCCCTTCCCCAAGCTCACTGCGCATAAGCCTTTGAGGAGATACTGCTTCATTCAGGTAGAGCTGTGCTTTGCATCCGCCCCAGTACAGTGCCGTGTGCATGCTCCCGTCCTCTGGCTTTCAGCTGCCGAGCCTGGGAGGAACGCCTGGCCCTGCAGACCCTTTCCCACAAGGCTTGTGGAGTAGACGCCCCAGGTCACAGCACGGGGCAGTAGAGGTCTTGCAACAAGGGGCATTGGAATGCAGCAATACAAATGCATCACGTTTGGCTCCTGTTCTTGGGTATACTGGCAGGAGTCTGTCTTCAGTGTGCCAATGGTATAGTCTAGTGATGCAGTTGCTGTGCCCTCCGGGGTGAGCACGGGGGTATTCAGTGCATTAACTCCTGCCAGGCTGGGAAACAGGGCACCTTGTTGGTGAATCTAATCTGTCCCTTTGGCCCACGCACCTCCTAGTCTACTGGAGCACGGCCATAGGTCCCAGTGCTAGAAAATGAGCCAAGAGGCAAAATTCAGCAGCAAAGGTCCCCCTCTGCCCCTGGCTGCGACTGACTTTGGGCACGATGTGCGAATGTGGCACCAATCCTTTAACTGAAGGTCTCTTGCCTGGCAGGTGACTGGACCCTTTGACCTTCTTGAGATGGTTGAAGTGTCCTCCTAGGGTAGGCCAGTGCAGGTGCCTTCTTACCAGGGGGTGATGCCGGCTCCTTGCATTTGGAAGATGCCCATCACTGTCTGATCTGGGAGCCCTTTAAGTTGGAAATGAATTAAATGAACCAAGGCAAGTGTCCCCACCCCTCCTTTCTCAGATCCGCCTCCTGGTCTGGGGCAGCTTTAGCTGGGGCTGGACTGACACCACTGAGTTGGGAATGGGTCTCTGCACAGAGATGTCTGCCTTGGGTTTGGCCTTCTTCCTTCTCCTCTCCCCCCCAGTTCTGCTGAACGTTTCCTGGTGTCTGTAGCAAATGAATCTCGGGAGGTGGAGGGAGGTTGGGGGCAGCCTGGGGCGAGTGGAGAAGAGTGTCAGACCCGTGTAATTCTACTGGGGTCCTCCCTGGTGTGTCAGAGCTGTTGAGGCTCGGGGTGAGCCGCCACAGGCAGGACTAGAGCTGGGTGACTCTGGCTAGGGCCTCACCC